AAGTCACATCCTACAACACAATACATAATTCTGATACAGTTAGCTGAATCTATACGTTTCTCTTTTTGTGTTGCTTTTTCATATTCAACCCTGAATAAGGAATAAGTGAAACTTCCTCAGTTCCCATGTGAACTGACTTCAGAATAAAAAACAAAAAAGTTAAACGAAAAACAAAAAGTCAATGAATAGCAAAATCAGAACCAATAAATACCTCGAATTTAAGATTGAAGATATGCGACAAAATATCGATAAGATTCGTAAAGGTTGGCCAAAATGGAAAATGTTTCATCAGACCCAACGCATCGACACTGAAATTCAATTAAAATATTCATTGACTTGAAAAATTAATCATCGTAGCCAAATATTGATCATGGGCACTTGCATTAATAACATCAGTACTGCCACGAGACACTATCAGGAAAATGTAGGAATCAAAAGCGATGATCCTGAGAAAGATAACGACAAAATGAGCACAGAAACCAACTCGTAATGATCTTCTGCCTCTTTTCGGCAAATATAAAACAAATCGAACGGCTGCAATTCGCCACTAATCATCTCCTTTGCAGATGCAAACGTTGACCACGCTTCGATACGATCCATAAAAACTGGACGCATTCGTTTTGTCAATCTACAATGCGCTACACTTCATCACTACACAATTCTTATGAATATATCATTAATTATTCCAAATTAACAAAGGTATGCAACACTCGTAAGAATGTCCGCAAAAAATCAAAACGATATTCGAAAAGGTGTATATTTCAATCGATGAAACTGATCGTTGATTAAACCCTAACTAGTTTCTGCGACGAACATACCAACAGAACAATTAAGTTCTGCATAATTTCTGCAAGTTCATTCAGCATACACTCTGGAACAAGATACGCACATAAACAATACTGAAACATCAAACTTACGCCAATATAAAACTGCGAACAGTATCGGGTGTTCCAGCCATTTTGTTCGATAGACGATGCTCAGAGACGGACGTGTAGCCGAGTGTTTTTGCCCATCCTTCACTGAAAATTATCCCAACTAATGGATGCACATGAACGAGCGAGGATATCAAAATATCCCGAATCATCACTATGCACTCATCGATCAACTCATTAAAAGCACTGACTTATTATGCCGTAACTCTTCGATATTCACTGAGTTATTGTAGAAGTCATGCTCAAAACTCGCTCTCGACGTCCACTTCTCCCATGCTGCTGCCCTTAAACTTCGGTCACCGCAATACTGCATAAAAGGCATTATTGACTGCGGTGCCATTCGAGCACGCCACGGACCCTTGTCGACTTCCAATCTGCAAACAAGCAACGATCATTAGCTGCATGACTTACGCCATCCAATCCCGCAGAACACGTTTCGACTGAAACACGATGTAACGAACAATGAAGCAACAAGCTATCCAAATACTCACTGATCTGTTGCAAGCATTCGCAAAACATGTGGTGGTGCATCTTTCAAGATTGCGCGATCGGTGACTGTAAATGTATTCTGATCGTTCGTCGTCATTATATTCGTCCTAAAATTTCAAATTTCCATTAGCGCTACTCGCATCATTTTCAACTCTAACCCGTTATTTTGTACACTGCACACATAAAAGAGAAGAGATTAAAAGAGAAGAGGTTATGCACGTTCCGCAACGAGACTTACAAGTATTTTGCTCTGTATTCATCAACAAATCTCGACCATGAACCAATAATTTTACGTGTCTTCTCATCGTGCCTATCCAAGCCACTCGCCTTCATTTCCAACAAGTAATATTCCAGTAAACGAATTTTCCATGCATCCATATCATGCTGTCGTTTATCGTACAAAAACTGAACAGAATAAACGACGTAACTCTTAACTGCTGTATAATCTCCATGAAAAACAAAGAATTGAAACAAATAAAAATCACTATGAAATCAGCAAAAGAGTGAAACGAAAACAAATGATTACCTTAACTGCATTCTGGAAATGTTCATCCGTTAATTTTTCCATTTGATCTCTTACACACATTATTTTCATCTAAAAATAAAACATACAGCGATGAGCATCTACTGCCTGTTATCTTAGCCAATAATCATTCACGTTTTACAGTGATTTCTGTGTGAAACTAATGAACAGATCATAATGTAATTGAGTAAAGTCAAGGAATCAATCATGCTTAAGGTCGAACAAAAAACTGAACGAACATGATGCATATCAGATTCGAATTCACGATTACTACACAAAGGCCAATCAGTCAACATCTTCAAAATTAATGTCTGAAAGGCATAATTCACATCGTACTCTTCTGTCAACAACGGATCAACAACAGTTTCGAATGAACGTTCATCTTCTTTCGCTGAAATTCCATTCAACTGAGTAAATTCACGACACGATGGTATATTGCCACTGAGACAGAATGAGCATGTGGCTGAATCAATTGGAAGAGAGTGGGGTTAACGCTAAATTAATGATCGGGAAAAAATTAATCAAGCAATGAAGAATTTTCGAAGTTGTACGATACTGTCGATTGTACGACAAAAACGATATGGAACAACGAGAAAGGTACTGATATCTAACAGTACTTTTATAAAGACGTACTGATATCTACAAAAAGGTAGTTATCTGCTTTTGATGGCGAGTGAATCGAATTTCATTTACTGCATATGACCATAAAATGCTTCGAGTAACAATATCATAAAGTTAACATATCATTGAAGTGAAGAGACCTGTCTTAAGATGTTCCAAGTGTTCCATTACAGTAGCGCCATATTCCATCATTAAACGCAACGTTCCTTCGTACATTTCTTTCGCTGAAAACAGTAGAAAAAAGATATTTTCGGCACTATTCAATTTTCCCGGATTGAACTTCATAGATTGGCGTTTCAAATTAGATAAACTGGACGAAAAACTTACGAGTCGCAGATGATAGAAGTGGCCAGTCAGTGCTTGACGCTATATTGGCCAAATATTTATTGTTTTCTACCGTTTCATCAGGAATTACCGGAAAACTGAAATTGAATTTCTATGAAAACAACCACTATGAGACACAGTAGCTGTATTAACCAATCAAAATCCTAAGTGACAAGCTCAAAAAACGATGGAACTGGGAATCTTACAGAACGAATTTCAAACGCTCCCACTGAAGGAATAATATTTGAGAGTTCATATCCTGGAAAATGATGAATCGAACAAAAATTCAGATGGAAACGAATAGAAAAAGCTCAAAAAATTTTGCCAGTTACAAATTAGCAATGAAAAATGGACGAAAAAACCCACATAACATAGTAACCAACAACACGAGGTGGTGTATCATTACTCATCTTGAATAGAATGTTCCTCGTCGCTTGCTGATTATTTGTTAACAACGACGCGCTCTTGACGGGATTCAGAAGAGCACGTCTCCGACCACGTGAAAACAGCCGTCTACTTAGCTGTCGTAAAATCTGAGCGGTCAGCAGTGCCATCCTAACGGTTGTTGATCGTGGTTACCTTCGAAACTAACATTCATTAATTTCTGTGACTCAGTCGTTTCCGGAAACATTCCCGTAATGAACCAATGAATTCCTTTTTGACCTTTCTGACAGGATCGAACATAAATCATAATATTTTCGGAAACATTCCCATAATGAACCAACATAAATTATTGAAACAATTTCAAACACAAAAATTAACATCACACTCGTGAAAACCGATGGAGGTTATGTGAATTACTGAGACACTTTTACGAGCTTTAACCCTCGTCAAATCAACGTTGAATACTACGAAACCAACAAAAAATTATACCTCGACTGCTTTTTTTCAAGTAAAAAAATTACAGCGATTAATTGTAAATGTCAGTTAAGAATTTCATCGTGCTTATGAACCAATATGTGACGAATTGCCAAATAGCGATCGCCTGGTCGTGACGGAGACGGATCACAGCAAACAACTGGAGAAGTATCGTGAAACAGTCGGAGTATTTGAGATATTCCAAGGCAAATTTGATGACACATGCTATGCAGTAGATTTCGAAGAGCATGAAAAGATCTATCAGAGACCGTTTCCAGCTTGAAAATCATCGTTAACTTTTTCCAGAGATCACCTCGTCGATGTGAACGCATTCTCCGAGGAACATTATTGTTTGACAATTCCACAATGTCCTCCGTCTTCGTATATTTGTTTTTGGTGATCATTCATTATTCCTTAAGTGTTTGAACTTTAGATGCACAGTTTGTGGGGGAGATTCGAAAATATTCTGAATCTTTTGATACAACTGGTTCAAAATCGTTAAGCACTCCTTCACATTACCCATTCCCACGTTTTGCATATTCATCGAGTTTTAAAGAAATCCATCGGCACTACCAGCAATTAGCACAAAAACTGCTCAACATTCTCTGGATAC